TGAGAGGGCAAAATTGAGCAAAAAACGGCCCATTTTTTTGCTCATTTCTGCCCTCCCTAGGCCCCAGGAACACTCTGGAAGCCTCCTAAAGGCTCTGCATGGCCATTTTGATGAAGGGGGCGGGGTTTCGGGAGGCAAAAAATGCTGTATTCAGTGTATAAGATGCACCCAGATTTTCACCCTCTTTTTTGAGGGGAAAAGGTGCGTCTTATACTCCGAAAAATATGGTAGCTATGGAAATGTTTGGGCTTGGTTATGGTCGTAAGTCGAGGACCACCTGTATACTGGGGTCTTCAGGCTGCCTATCTCCTCTGCTTCTCCTCCCCCACCCTTAGGAGAATGGGCGAACCGGGCCCAGCTCAGCAGCAGGACGTCTCTGACCATTTACAACGTCACCAGAGCTGATAAGGGGATTTACCGGTGTGAGGTCGTAGCTCCCGACGATGCCAATCTCGGCGCAGAAATCAACGTTAACCTGACAGTTCACGGTATGTTTCACAATAAACCTAGAGTAAGCTTCATGGGCCACGCCTGTTTCCCTTGCGTAGGAATCTAGACTGGAAAGCAAGTTTTTAAGTGTGTGCGGGTGTGTGTTTGTGTGTGAAAGAGGAAGAAAAAGAGAAAGAGACGGAGAAAGGAAGGATGGAAGGAAGGGAGAGGAAAGGAGAGAAAAAGAAAGAGAGAGAGGAGAAAGAGAGAAAGAATGAGAGAGGGAGAGAGAAATAGAGATGGAGAAAGGAAGGAAGAGAAAGAAGAGAAAGAAGGAAGGAAAAGGAAGAAAGAGGGGGAGAAAGGGTGGGAGGGAGAGAGAGGAAGAGAGAAAGAATGAGAGGGGGAAGAGGGAGAAAGAGGAAGAGAGAAAGAATGAGAGGGGGAGAGGGAGAGAAATAGAGAGAGATGGAGAAAGGAAGGAAGAAAGGAAGGAAGGAAGAAAGAGAAAGGAAGAAAGAGGGAGAGAAAGTGTGGGAGGGAGAAAGAGAGAGGAAGAGAGAAAGAATGAGAGAGGGGGAAGAGGGAGAGAGAAAGAGGGAGAGAGAAAGAAATGGAGAAAGGAAGAAAGAGAAAGAAGAAAGACAGAGGAAGAGAGAAAAAGAAGAGAGAACGAATGAGAGGGGGAGAGAGAAAGAGATAGAGAAAGAGATGGACAAAGGAAGGAAGAAAGAGGGAGAGAGGAAGATAGAGATAAAAGAGAGGGAGAGGGAGGAAGACAAGAGGAGAGAGAGGAAGAGAGAAAGAGAATGAGATAGAGAGTGAGAGAAAAGGGGAGGGCAGAGTGTCTTGACTATAACATAGTGTGTTCCTACCACAAACCAGTTTTCTAACAAGGTGAACTATAATTAAATACTTCATTAGCATCCCAGTATCCTGACCTTACGCTCTTTCTTTCCCTTGTTTTGTATTTGTATACACACACACCAGACTGTTACCTGGTCCTCACAAAAAGAACAGGTGAATAAGTCCACACAGTTCCTTCGGGCAAACCCAGGCCTTCTGTTGTGCTCAATGCCCCCTGCTCTTCAGTAGCAGACCCTCCCCAACATCAGAGAAGGTCTGGTTGGGGTGTGTGTGGATCCCACCCCTTAGCTGGATTCATGGACTTTCGAAAGGGGTGTGTTTGTGTGTGTGTGTGTTCTTTGTATTGTTCAGCTTTTCCGATTGAACCAGATTAATAACTTGACCAACTGGTGGCCCCGTGAGATTAATATTATACAGCTAAGCTTGTCCTGTAAATCCTTTATCCGTTCAGCTGGAAGACTTTAACTTTCAGGCTATGAATGAGGAGTAATAATGTCTTCTAGGCTTCCTGAGTTAGCATAAATCACCACCTTAGTCCCCAAAACCCTCTTTTTATTTAAACGGCCGTGAATTATGGTCATTCCCAACCCAGGATGTTTCACAGTCAGTCTCTGAAGAGTCCTGCAGGCGTCTGCCACAGTCTTTCAGTGTAATGTTGATAAGCGCCCACCTTTATCTCCCTTGAAACGCTGCCAGGGATCTAATTGCCGTTTAGTTTTGCAAGGCCAAACGGAGCACAGAGTCAAACAGGACTTCTCAGAGCTTGAAACCGACAGGATGAACTAATTGCTTCCTGCAAAGGGTCACCTCCCATTTGCTCCTCTTTTATGTCCTATTGGGGGGGGGNGAAATTTTGAGTAATTTGGAGAACCAGTAGCAGAAACTTTGAGTAATTTGGAGAACCGGTAGTAGAAACTTTGAGTAATTTGGAGAACCGGTAGCAGAAATTTTGAATAGTTCAGAGAACCGGCAAATGCCACCTCTGGCTGGCCCCAGAGTAGGGTGGGAATGAAGAAAATAAAACTGGTCAGCTCAAACCGCAGTTAAAATTAGCATTTCATAATAAACTCTCCCCCCCCCACACACACGCTATTTTTATCTTCGGCAAACCTTCTCCAGAAGCAGATAATTACGACCTCCCCGCTGTTTTCCTCCAGATCCAAAGGATTTGGGGAAACATTTCTCAAACGTTTCTCTTTTGATGCTCCTTTTTTTTGGGGGGGGGGGAGATAGTTCCGCTCAGAGGGAGTAGAACTTCCAAATGCAGGAACACTCTACCTGCAAGGGGCTGACTCTTAAGGGGAAATCGCCCGTCAGGAAGGTGTTTGCACATCCCGGTGCCTGGGGGTTTCCGAGAGAGAAACAGAAAAAGGGGTTCGCTCTCTTTAGATGCTGCGTGTGGCCTAAAGCAGCCACGGCGGTTTCTTAAATTCTTAATCTCTGCGTTTCAACCCGTCGTGCAAAAATAATAATAATAATATGGCTGATTGTGATGGGTTGTTGGCAGGGCAAACCCTTGTCTTCTGTTCTTCTTCGAAGCTTCTGGCCTCTGGGCTTAAGCAGGTATTTTAAAACAAATTGTTGCTGCGTCTGTAGATTTCGGAGAGAGATTAGCCTGGGAAAGAGTTGGTAATTGGGTCCTTCACCTTAGGAAGACGAGGAGTTGATCCCAAAGAGTTGTTTTAAGAATATATGCCACTGTTTGGGCTAAAGATAATTACAAAGTGAGGGGGAAAAAATGCTTGCTCGGCACAGGCAGCTGAGCAGAAACTCAGCAATTGCTCCTACCCCCCTCAGAAGCATCAGGTGAGAAGGAAAAAGGTTTGGAGAAGCAGCTTCCTTGCCGCCAAAAAGATGCAAAGGCTAATTTGTGCCGGAAAGTCAAGCCCGGGTGTCAAACTCACAGCCTGCGGGCTGGATTCAGCCCGCAGGGTGCTTAGATCTGCCCCTCGAGGCCGCCCTGGGAACAGCAAAGGACCAGCCCACAGTGCTCCCGCCAGTGAAAATGGAGCTTGGGAGGCCTACGCACAGCTGTCCCGGGCTCGTTTTCAGCCGCAATGTCCTCCTGCAGCCCTCTTGCCAGCCAAAATGGAGCTGGCGGGGGGGACGACACACATGCGGCCCTGTTTCCGCTGGTGGAGGGCTATCAAAACAAACTAAAAACAAATCAAAAGGAGAAATGTTTTCCCCTTTTGCATTTGAGCAGGCAAGAAGAAGGGACAGGAAAGGAGGAAGGGAAAGAGAAAGGAAAAGAAGGGAAGATGGGAAGAGAGCAAGGAAGGAAACCTAAGGAAAGAGGGGAAGGAAGAAGAAAGGAGAAGGAGGAAGGAAGGAAAAAGAGAAGGGAGAAAGGGAAGGAAAGGAAGGAAGGAAGGAAGGAAGCAAGCAAGCAAGCAAGGAAGGGATTATAGTAAGAGTGAAGGAGGGCCTGAGCGAAGTCCTGCCTTAACACTTGGCCACCACAGGTACCCCCAACACGAGTGACATCGAGCTGGCCACGTCCCCCTCCGAGGTCAAACACAAACCTCGCCCTCAATGAAATCGAGTTTGACACCCCTGGTCTGCAGGATTGAGCTTCACCTTGACCCATCCTTGTCTCTAACATTGGCAACTTTAAGGCTTGAGGACTTCCAACTCCCAGATTTCTCCAGCATGTACAGCTAGAGTTGGAGCCCTGAGGTCTACAACTCCAGCCAGGAAGTCCACACGTTGTAAGGTGGTCATCGGTCCCCAGGGTTGTGAAGATTGGACACCTCTGCGGTAAGATGGAAACAGAGGCAATGTCCAGATGATCTGCTCTCCAGCCAAGCTATTTAAGAGTACAGCGAGTCCTCATTTAGCGACAGTTCGAATGCCTTTGAATGGGTTACTAAGTCTCCATAGTGCACCCTTCCAGAGAACTCTTGTTTATCTCCGGAAAGGGGTGATCTCACAGAATAAAATCCGAGAAAGCCACACCGAGAAAGGTATTATTATTATTTCACGTAGCTGCTGAGGAAGCAGTTTGCAGAGTTCCTGCCTGGGGGGAGGCTTTGAGGAGGGGAATTTCCTCTCCCCACCACCCACCCCCAGGGCGATTCGTAGGTAGGCAGGTGGCTTTGAACCTCATGNGAGAGATGAAAGAAAAAAAGAAAAAAAGGGACAGAGAGACAAAAGGAAGGAAAGCGAGAGAGAGAGAGGGAGAGAGAGAGAGAGAAAGAGGAAGAAAGAAAACACATGGGTGGCAAGCCACTCCCACAAAGAAGGCCACACCCACAGAGTAGGTTCCAAAAATTTTGGAAACCCACCACTGGTGCACGCGCAAAGCGCCTGCTCCGCAAACTGGTTGTTAAATTGGTAGGATCCCCACCCCTGCCTGGCATCTATCTCCGCATCGCCTTGTGATGCCTGTTGTGTGTGTGTGTGTGTGTGTGTCTTTGCAGAAGCCGAACTCTCCTGCATTATTGCTGCCACCAAAACAGCGAACCCTAGGATCGAATGGAAGAAAATCGGCAGCCAAGGAACAACCTACGTGTATTTTGACGGCAAAGTGCAAGGTAGAAAGCTTTTTGGCGGGCGCTCTCTGCTGTGTCATTTGTGCTGGGGGCGCCCAAGAATTGGGAGCAATTTTTAGAAGGGGTGCTGATGGGGACCCCTGCTGAGTTTCTGCCCCCCCCCCCACAAATCACCTGAGCTTTGTTAGGGACATCCAGAAGGTTTAGGTTTATTAGATTTATAAGCCGCCCTTCTCCCAAGGACTCAGGGCGGCGTACAACATTAAAAGAAACACATAATACAAAAGTTTAAAAAAAATTAAATAGAAATATTAAAAAATTAAATAGAATAACCCAAAATAAGAATTGACAGCCATGGAGGGTTGTTTTGCTGAGTATTAAAAATGAAGACGCTGACTCAATCATCAATCAATCTCTCTATATAAAAATGGCTGTTGTGTATGTTTGTCCCAGCATAACTCTGGAATGCCTCGAGCAATTTCAACCGAACTTGGTACACAGATGACTTACTCTCTGGAGACAAATACTGTGGGGGTAAGACATCCCTAACAGTGACCATCTTAACAATCGCAGCGATTCATTTCTGGCCTTCCCTAGGCCCCAGGAACACTCTGGAAGCCTCCTAAAGGCTCTGCATGGCCATTTTGATGAAGGGGGCGGGGTTTCGGGAGGCAAAAAATGCTGTATTCAGTGTATAAGANGTGTGTGTGTGTGTGGTGGGGACTCACAGGTTATCTAATTTTAGAGGATGGTAGAAGAACTCTGTAGCAGCAGGGCTGACTCATCCTGCAAAACCCTGGTTTAAAAGACGCAGGCCACTCTTTTGCAAGACAACAAAGCCCATATTTTGGACAGAGAGGATCGCTGGCTTGAAAGACGGGGACCAAGAGACCATCTATGTCCAAATTATCCAAACAACTAGACACAAAGACAGTTTCCCCCCGCATGCCATTACTCTGCTAAACAATAAATAATTTCCACAACAGTCAAACTAGTTACTAAGATTGTATTACTATTCTTCTTCTTATCCTTTCTATTACCTGTCTCCTCCCACTTATGACTATAACGTTGTTGCTTGTATCTTTATGTTTTATATTGTTTTATTTCATTTCCTAGTATGAGTTTGATTGCTTATTTAGTATCCTATGACTATCACTGTGTTGTATCTTATGATTCTTGATGAACGTATTTTTTTATGTACACTGAGAGCTTATCCACCAAAGACAAATTCCTTGTGTGTCCAATCACACTTGAACAATAAATAATTCTACTCTACTCTACTCTACTCTACTCTACTCTACTCTACTACTCTATTCTACTCTACTCTATTTGTTCTACTCTACTCTTCTACTCTATTCTACTCTACTCTAGTCTATTTGTTCTACTCTACTCTACTATTCTACTCTACTCTACTCTATTCTACTCTAGTCTATTTGTTCTACTCTACTATTCTACTCTACTATTCTACTCTACTCTACTCTACTTACTCTTCTACTCTATTCTACTCTACTCTATTTGTTCTACTCTACTCTACTCTTCTACTCTATTCTACTCTAGTCTATTTGTTCTACTCTACTCTACTCTACTATTCTACTCTACTCTACTCTACTCTATTTGTTCTACTCTACTCTTCTACTCTATTCTACTCTACTCTAGTCTATTTATTCTACTCTACTCTACTATTCTACTCTAATCTACTCTACTCTAGTCTATTTGTTCTACTCTATTCTACTCTACTCTACTCTACTCTACTCTACTCTACTCTACTCTACTCTACTCTACTCTACTCTAAATGGCAAATCAACAGGTGAAGCCTGCAAGCCGGGATTGAAATCTGCTTTCACTGTTCATTTCCATTTATGGGGCTTCTATATAGAATATATAGCAATAGCATTTAGATTTATATATACCGCTTCACAGTGCTTTACAGCGCTCTCTGAGAGATTTACAGAGTCGGCCTCTTGCCCATAACAATCTGGGTTCTCATTTTACCCACCTCGGAAGGATGGAAGGCTGACTCAACCTTGAGCC